CTATCAAAGCTTGAATTGTGTACAATTTCATTAAATGGATAGCGGTGAGACATAAACTAAGGACATTTGCATGTTCTCATACCATGTTGAAACTACTTCATCTAAAAGTTTAAGTCATTAGAGAATGCAACTTAATCTGCATCCTTCAAAATTTCTAAAGATTTCTTTGTTTTATTTACATCATGAGTTCATACTTTGATTTCTCATTTCCAAGCAAATTATGTTGTTAGTGTGCTAATTTTTTGTTCTTTCCTAGTTAATCATGTGTGTAAGTGTGTGTTGGCCCATATTTTAATTGTATTTCTATATTTTGTATGTATGCAAGTGGAAATTTTGTTTGTGTTCATTTAGGAAATTAGTGGTTGTATTCTTATTAAATTTAATATTCATATTTGGAATGACTGAAGATCTTGTTTGCGGCCAAAAAAATTGATCTGGTAGTATGTAAAGGACATCCTTACAGAGGTGTTACAGAAGTACGTGACAAAAGATGAGAATTCGAAGTTCAATAATTCCATCTTTCAGAAACTAGATTCCCAGTTAAATGGTTTTTTATCTGAATCTTCAACTGAGCGAAATTTTGTCGGAAAAGCTTGGCAATCAACAAATCCTACACTTTCTGGTTTTGCTTTTTGATTTTGCTTATTGTAAAATATAAGTTGCTTGCTTTTCATGCACTGTCTTTGCTTATTAATGGTTAGGAAGTATGTGGAAAAATTCCCACTTATTTTTGGAATATGTTGGATTGTGGTTCATGTTGAGAAATGCATTGAAATAAATGAAAAGTCAGAGACAGGTCATAGTTAGTTTTGTTGGTGGGTCTGGCTTCTAATTAGGCATGTTATAGCTTTTAAATAAAAAATATTTCTTTTACCGTCAAAGTTCTATAAAAAAATTTCAACATCCCCTGGTTGTGCATTCTTGGTCCCACCTCTGTGGATAAGTATGCGTATATTAGTGACATAAACTTCCTTCAATTGTTTTCATCCCACTAGTTTTGGGAGTGGTTAAGATTCAAAAGCCACTAAAAGATCACGTATTTATGATGAATTTCTCAAATTGCAATTTCGTGAAGACATTCATCAACCTACCTAAAGTTATAATTCTGAAAATATGCCTCCAGCATCCAGAGATCCTTGAGATTTTTACCATGTTGGGACAATTTTTTGAAAGTCTATCAACATAATATTGTGCACCAAAATGAAATATTGTTGATTATTTTCTGCACTTTATTTCTCATTATTTTTGGCTGGCTCACTTAAAATAAAATTGTGTTAATGCATTTCAGGTTGAATCTTTATTTTTATGAATCTAGAATCTGAACGGATGTTGGGCCATTAAATTTACTGAATTTTGTTATACATTGAAGAATTTGTTGATTCCCTGATTGAAGAGTATATTAAAGACCATTAGGGGATTAATTTCCTGATTTTTGTGATTGATTGATTAGAGAGTATCAGGGTAATTATTTGATTTATAAAATTGATTGTTCGAGGAATATTAGGGGATTAATTTCTTTATCTATGTAAGTTTATAGTTTTCGTTAGGGTGGCATTCTAAAGGTAAACCCAAATAAACCAATAGACCCGAATTGGGTTAGTTTTTTTTATAGCTTTTCAGTTTGACGTCAGGTAGTTTTATGGCTAAATTAGGCAGACTGGGTGTTGTCGAGGCGTATGGAAGACGTGTTGAAGACATGGAGGAGAAAATATCGCGATAAGGATAGCAAGCTTATATGGGACCTTATTTCAGATTGCATCATATGGTGTGTGAAGAAAATAAAACAGTCACTGTTTTGATGATCAGACATGGACAACAGAGCAGTTTAGAGAATTGTTTTATTTGATATTGTATACTTGATTTAATGCTGTGGCTACTAGGCATATAGACGGGCTTTCTTATTTCTTGTTGTTCCTTTTTGGTTTAAATTGATAGTATACTTCCTATGTATTATGTATTGATTAATAAAATATTTAATTACCTTTCAAAAAAATAAGGATAGCAAGCTTATATGGGACCTTATTTCAGATTGCATCATATGGTGTGTGAAGAAAATAAAACAGTCACTGTTTTGATGATTAGACATGGACAACAGAGCAGTTTAGAGAATTGTTTTATTTGATATTGTATACTTGATTTAATGCTGTGGCTACTAGGCATATAGACGGGCTTTCTTATTTCTTGTTGTTCCTTTTTGGTTTAAATTGATAGTATACTTCCTATGTATTATGTATTGATTAATAAAATATTTAATTACCTTTCAAAAAAAAAAAAAAAAAAAAAGATCATCTACCTATACAATATTGATAAACTATCAATATTCTTACCTTATCCTGTGCTCATTTTTTAATAAAGAGAGTATGGTCCCCTTGACTACTTGAAATTCAACACCAAACAAACATTATTTCCGAAGTTAACATCAAACTTAGGTGGTGTCTCTATATAACTTCCTCCAACTTGTTATGTTGGAAAACTTCCTTAACATCAAGAAGAACGAAGAAAAACCCTTAATGTTTGGCGATAATTTAAGTTTTTGAGAAGAAAACGTCTCAAAAACTTATTTCTCGGAACCAAATCAATTATTGACAACGTTGACATGTTGTAGAGTTTCAAGTTGCCATTGGGAGATAATGTTTTGATATTTCAGGGGCTCTGGTTCTTCGAGGTGCCTTAATTCCATCTCAAGTTGGTGGATTACATGCTTTTTCCATGGCCTCTTGTTTTATATTACCGCATGATGCCAAATGTTACAATCTTCTACATGCTATGGAGATAATATTTTAATATTTGAGGGGCTCTTGCTTGTGGAGGTACCATTGTTACATCACATGTTGATGGATTATATGCTTTTTTCATGGCTTCTCGTATTGGATTACCACAGATAATGCCAAATGTTGTTGAAATATCCCTAAATGAAGTCAAATTTTTTCTTGGAACAGGACACTCCTTGGTAGTCTTGGAGGTCAAATGCTGCTGCTCAAATTCATGAGAGACCTGCAAAAAGGCGAGGGAAGAAGGGAGCTCCAATGCGTAAGTCAGGTATAGTGGATACAAGACTACAAACTAATAGAGATAATGTGAATTTCATACCTAGAAATAGCAAAGGCAGAGGGTATAAATAGTTGAGTGCTTGCCTCTTTTTGGATGTGATTGGAATTTTGATTGAGTAAAATTGTCGTCATGATTTATTAGATGAGATCCTGAGCTGATTGGATAAAATTCTTAGATTAGATAGAATTTGATGGAGAAAATCTTGTGATTCTGCTAGATGGGACTAGCATGCTGAATCATAGTACTATAGGTCGGGAGGATGCTACGCTAAACTCGGAGTCGACGAACCTCAAATAGTGTTTTTGCACTCCTAGTCTTGATGTGAGTCTGGTCTCATGATTTGTGAGACAATCAAAATCGATTTTTAAAAACCTTCCAAGGAAATTTTTGAAGTTAAAATGAAATATGGCCCCATTTTAAGTTTTTCATATAAGGCCTTTATAGGTAGAATATCCATATACTAAAATCAGCCTTCATGTGTTTCCGCTATTTTTCTTGTAAATGCTGGTCCAATTCAACCATGAGTTGAGCTGTCAAGCATGAGTCCAATTGCATCAGCCTTTGTCTTTTTTCATATCTATGAAGATGCTTTCCTAATACAAGAACATTCACCAAAATCCCCCAGAAAAAAGTAATTATAAATACCTCC